CCAGCAACAATTTCAAGAACTTCAACCCTACACCGCAAAGACATCATCGGCACTTCTGAGACTACAATCAGCAGTCCCCGGTGGGCGGAGCTACACACTCTATGTTTCCATGTTGCCATTCCAACAGGTGCTAAGGAAAACATACTAGCAAAAAAATGAGTGGGATCCGGAACTTTGACAGCCCTGTCGGAGTGACGATTTCCCACCATGGCTTGTCCTGTCCCTTTGTTCGCCTTGTATTGTATGACGATGGGTGCTGCAAAAGGCGCTAGGGAGAATATATTAGCATAGTCCTGGGTGGGCTCCTGAAACCTACAAGCCCTTGTTGGGTACAGAATTCCTGCGTAGCACCCATTGTCCTTGTTTGTCTGTCTTGTCCCGTCTCAATGCTTTCATTGTCCGGTGTGGCTCTGCGGGCCTTGCTGTGGTGAGGGCTCTTCTGGTGCTCTTCTTCCTGCTGCTGGCTTGGGTGGTGTTCTTCCTCGATAGATTGTGTGAATGTAATGTACTTATCAAGGTCTTACGGTCTGGTCAGTAGCGAAAAGGTCCAGCCTAGGACCAAGCGCCTCCGTGTGCGTCCGGGCTGAGGGCCAACCACATAGGGGGCTATTGGAGTTCTCTGCCTTCGGGCAAAGAATCTTTGACCTCGTGAGAGGCTTAAAGAGTCGTCAGGCCATATAATTTCCGAACCGCGTCTCAATTCTCTTCTGGATGGAGCATGTAATTAAGATGTTTTTAATTTTATCTTTCTTGCTATGGCACGAGTTCATCGAACATATAAATCTTCATTTTTAATTATTATGTAATATACACACATACATGCACACACATACATACATACATACATACATACATACATACATACATACATACATACATACATACATATATATATATATATATATATATATATATATATATATATATATATATATATATATATATATATATATATATATATATATATATATATATATAAACAGAACAAGCAGAATCCAGTTTGTTTAGATGATTGCATCCTGTTTACTTGGTAACAAATTGTGCTTGGTTCAGCTGTGCGATGACATTTAAAAGACTCAACAGCTTCTACGCTTGTCATCTTGCACATGTGCAGCAACAAATAGAGATGAGGCACCGTTGGGTGAAAAATGTTGACCCAACCTGAAAGTAGCTTTTGAAATTTCCATGCCATCTCACATGTCGAGAATTGCAGTTTCATACATTGAATAAAATTGTTAGAGTTCAATTTCATATGTTGAGTTTTTCAGTGTTATTCGTTGTATTGCATAGCGGTGATTAAATGTTCCATTTTCTACAACAGGTTTTTACATTTTCTGGGTTTAAATAAATATAGTATATCGAGAATTCCAGTTTCACATTTTAAATAAAATTGTTGGCGTTGAAAGTTTCATTCTGTATGTCGAGTTTCGCACTTTATCTGGTGAATTACATAGCCGTGGTTGAAAATTACATTTCCTATGTCGAGTTTTGTAGATTTTTACATTCGAATTATGCTGCGGTGGTTGAAATTTAAATATTTATATATCGAAATTTCCAGCTGTACATGTTGAAGGAAACTGTTGGTGCCGAAAGTTGTATTTCATATGTCGAGATTTTATATTTTATTTCCAATTACAAGGCGGTGTCTGAAAGTTATTGGAGGAATTTGGTTATAATTTGTTGAGTCACGCCGCTGTAGTTAAATGTTCCATTTCATATGTCGAGATTCCCAATTTCACACGTTTAATCATATTGTATGTGTTGATGTGGTCTGTCAACCATTCATATGTTGTTTAAGGATAATGTAGTATTTTTGCTCATAAATGTGAAAATAATACAAGAACTCTACGTATTTTTAAAATTCTGATATTCCAAATATAGCTATTAATCAGAACTCAAGTAAATACCATAAGCACTCTAAATATATTGCCATCTACCTCAAGTATTTAAGCAAGGAAATTTTCTTCCATTCATTTCCATAATATTTACTTTTTAACATGCCAAAGATTTTAAGTTTTCTCCTTTATGTCCTTGCTGCGTAATTTTCGTCACCAAAACATGAAGGATCAGTTCTGTTGTTGTTTTTTTGTTTAAATTGTTCAACAGGTTATGTTTCTATTCCTTAAAGGGTCTATGGCTGTATATTGACTACAGCTTAATGTTGCAAAATAGAATAGAGGCGAGCATGCGTGTGGTAAACAATTTTTACTTTGTAGCAAGAAAACTTGTATCTCAGAAATATTTCTCCCAGTACCTAATAATAATCTAGCAATTATCCTCCCACGTGGGCACTTTAAACGTCTGTCTCACAAGCAAAAATCATCTGAGTGCATCATGAAATGTAGGAGCGGATTGAAAAACAAAGTATGGGGAGAGACATGAACATTTTAGCTGTTGCCATGGCACCATTTTAGCCATCTAACTTTAAATAAACTCGCTAGAGGAGACATTCTGGTTGCTTCACACTCATGTTTTGAGGTGGATATGCGCTGACTCCGCCATTGACTCGCTTCTGATCATTATATTATTATTATTATTATTATTATTATTATTATTATTATTATTATTATTATTATTATTATTATTATTATTATTATTCTGTTGTTATTGCTGCTATTTTTCAATTAGCTTCACAGAGGTTAGCTGATTTGCAAAATTCGAAAAATCCGACATTTGATGCAATTTTATTCCTTGCAAAGACAATTACCGTTTACTAGCAAACGGAAAAAGAAAAGCCTGCTGCCACGGCGCCATTTTAAAAAAAAGTCTGTGCCCGTGGGCGAATGAGTAGGGTTGTGTTGTTCAATAATGATAATAATAATAATAATAATAATAATAATAATAATAATAATAATAATAATAATAATAATAATAATAATAATAATAATAATCCTCCAGTGTATGAACAAAATCCATGAAGGAGTTAACGAAATAAAAGTAAATGAAATTAAAACAGAACTTGATGCAAAGTCAAGATGTAGCTATGACCCAAAGATTAAATGGAATAGCACGTGTTGCAGAACGTCATTAATCTTCGTAATGATTAACTCAATGTATGAAGAAAATTCTTTCCTTAGTTTAGCAAATATAAGACCTCCCTCCAACAGAAAACAAACAAACAAGCATAAACAAAAATAAAAGCAACCTAAACAAGACCATAACGGAACTTTTCTATGACTGTGATCATGACCATAAGGAAAAAGTGCAAGTGCGCATGACAACACATTTTTCGCGGTGCCCAGCTCTAACTGAAAGGTAAAAAGAATACAGTGGCCTACTTTTAGCTGATATTTATACTACACAGACAGATGTATCTGCGTCTTAAGTTGCATTTTTCTGGGACAATTATTTCAAGAGCAATGCAAAGAATGAAAACTGCCTCTAATTATAAGGTTTTCAGGAAATAAAATGTCAAAAAAATATAACGTAAATAAAGTCATTGGAGACCTATTTTGGCAGGTTGGGGCTTTTTAATGGTGGGAGGCAATCATTATATCAGATTACCATCACATGATAGTATTACAAAGTACATGTAATGTAATTAACTTCACACTTGATAAAACAGTCGCAAGAATGAATAAATATGCATACATAGAAGAAACTCTTCCATACTTATGTTTCTTGACATGAGAAATGAAACATTCAACCCGCGCTGTTTAATTCAACAAAGAACATCTAATAACGCGACAGATGAAATGGGTCTTTCAAACAATTAGATTCAACGTGTAAAATTGGAATTCTCGACATACAACATTGACATTTCAACAACCATTCTATAATGGAATTCTAATAGCTCGACATACAAACTGAAATTTTCAATACCTGCAGTTCAACAAAAGCAATTTTAAAACGCGACATATGAATTGGAATTTTCGACGCAAACACTTTTGACTCACGGTGTGACACTGGAATGTTCGACATAAAACTTAAATTTCAACAACCGCTATTTTCAACAGGTAAAATATAAAATCTCGACGAAGAAAATGCAACTCAACCACCGCATGTAATTAATACACAAAGTTTCAAATCTGGAAATATGAAATAGAATTTTTAACACCAACGATTTGTCTCAAAATTTAAAATTGGAATTTTCGATAAATGACAATGAAATTTAAACTACATCTTTTTCGTTGGACCATCTTATATCCCCTACAGCACCCCATACAGATTTGCAACCCCCAAAAGGCCCCTTTTAACTAAACTGAATACGTATTTCTTTGGCTTGCTGTGTCAAGAGAAGGGTTCATTGTTAAACTCTAACACTACAAATGATATTACAAAGGTTGAAATTTTGTCATTGACACTGGTCACGTAAAAAGTTTCCTTGTCAAAGTTTGCAGACGTATAAATCTGAAGGAATACAGTTTAATTAATGGATACAAGCGTTGCATGACTTCGTAGTTTGACAGCTCTGATAGCAAAGTAACACACGTGTTAGCCCTTGAGAAATGAGTGCTGTTTCTCATGGAATATGTCGTGATATGAACTAGTTGGAATATGTCGTGATATGAACTAATTTTTGGAATATGTCGTGAAATGAACTAGTTTTGGGAATATGTCGTGATATGAACTAGTTTTTGGAAAATGTGATATGAACTAGATTTTGGAATATGTCGTGATATGAACTAGTTTTTGGAGTATGTCGTGATATGAAATAGTTTATGGAATATGTCGTGATATGAACTAGTTTTTGGAATATGTCGTGATATGAACTAGTGTTTGGAATATGTCGTGATATGAACTAGTTTTTGGAAAATGTGATATGAACTAGATTTTGGAATATGTCGTGATATGAACTAGATTTTGGAATATGTCGTGATATGAACTAGTGTTTGGAATATGTCGTGATATGAACTAGTGTTTGGAATATGTCGTGATATGAACTAGTGTTTGGAATATGTCGTGATATGAACTAGTTTTTGGAATATGTCGTGATATACCCATATGTAGATTTTGGATTATGTAGACTATTAATATACCTTTTCCAGCATTCATTTCACTGCTCTGGCTCCCTAGTAGTTAGAGCATCCTCCTCGGATGCGGGAGGTCGCTGGTTCGAACCCCGGCCTGGTCATACCAAAGCCTTTTAAAAAATGATGTTAACAGCTGCCTGACTTGGCGCTCAGCAATATGATGTTATTGTTAAGACTGGTCGGTGTGGTGTCAAAATAATGTGAGGTGGGACATCACGCCACATGTCTGTGGCATGATGCCCCAGTGCAAAACATCACTATAAACCACAGGAGTCTGCAGTTTAATCAATAAAGCAAGACGAAATTTCTGACAACATGGAATCAACTTATCGGTATAATTAATTATCTATTCGAAAAATCCAACATTTGATGCAATTAATTATAATACCGTTAAGTTGATTTCATGTTGTCAGAAATTTCGTCTTGCTTTATTGATAATACTGCAGACTCGTGCTTATCGTAGCAATATCACTTAAGAATTGTTAAAGATATGTTAAAAATCACACACACACACACACACACACACACACACACACTTCAATACCGTGCTTACTGCACGCTATCACCTCTAAAGAGGTAGTTTCATCAAAGCTTTTTTTCGTGTTAAGCTGGAAACGTTTGGACACATACATAGGCGTTGATGAGAGGTCCTAACCCTCATGTACAGTGTCCTTATCTTATCCACTCACATCCGCCAGTTCAAGAGTTATTTAAGTACGATGATGCCTAAACATATTCTCTTAAAAGATTTAATAAATTAATAAACTGGTATGACTAAAAATTTGTTCATAAAATTAAATCGTCTGTAAACTCTCCGAAAAATGTGATAAGTTTAACAGAAAAAAAAACCCGACTGGTTTATTATACTCCTGGTTGTCTCCCTTTCAACATTCATAGCAAAATGCAAAATGATTTACATATGGGTGTAGGGCCAGTTTTAATGTACAAATTTAATGCCGCAATCAGTGACCTGGTACCAAAAAAAAAATCATAAAAAATCAAAACCACAAGTGAGGTCAAGAAGGTTCATATTTTGAGATACCTATATTAAAACAAAGCATAAAAATAGTATCCACTTGACCAGAGAAGTCAGTGGCAGCTTATAGCAGAAGTTTATGCACCCCAACCCCAAATTTATAATTGCAATTTTCAGGACCAAAGGTCTTTTTTGACACCATGTGATTATCGCAGTGCAAATACAAGCCCTTTTCCTAGATAACAGTTCTGCAAAACATTGTGTACTAAAGAATCTGATGCAGTTGAAAATAGTTGTCATCCAAGCCGTTTTTTTATAGATATTTTCTATGCCCCAAAACCACGTGTTTACTGCTATGGGATGCTAGCTTTTTCCTAGTCAACACTTGGTATTTCACTGTCAACATATTGCAGAGTAACTATGGAAGGTGTACATGCCTGACATCAATTTCAAGAACAACACAAGCCCGAATCACCTAGTTCACAAATATATCCATATCTTTAATTAGTAAACAATAATAGTTGAAAAAGTCACACCATAGCCTTAAGTTAAGAAATTTGCTAGGGGCTAATTTACGAAACTGGACCCTGCCACTGATACTCTAAGGGTTCCCCGTATATGTTCTTTTGTTGCTGTTTCAAATCATCAGTAATCTAGTCAAGCTTTTTTCTATAAAATGTTACTGCTAGCCTTGATAATGAAATGCATCACCGGTTCTATAGATTTTGAAACAATTTCTACCTCAAGTTGTAGTTGTAGTAGTAGTAGCTGTAGTAGTAGTAGTAGTAGTAGTAGTAGTAGTAGTAGTAGTAGTAGTAGTAGTAGTAGTAGTAGTAGTAGTAGTAGTAGTAGTAGTAGTAGTAGTAGTAGTAGTAGTAGTATTTACATACCTTTTCCACGCGTTAATAACATTGATTCAGCAGCTTCTCGACAAACAATTAACTCGGGCATGGTAAAGGAGGGCATTCTTCTTACAAAGTACATGAAAATTAGCAGAACGAGGTCATGCCAGTAGGTAGTTTGTCTTAGAATATTATTGAAATCTTTTAGTATCTTTAATAGAAGTCTGGAATGGTTAAAAAATGCTGGTAATCAGATCATTTGTTAGCTCAGCTAATTCATGAAGCAATACATTCGTCCCAACATAAATGAATAATTTGTATGCGAAAAGTACATTAGTCTCTCTCTCTCTCTCTCTCTCTCTCTCTCTCTCTCTCTCTCTCTCTCTCTCTCTCTCTCTCTCTCTCTCTCTCTCTCTCTCTCTCTCTCTCTCTCTCTCTCTCTGTACTGTTTTTTTCCTACAATTAAAACTATAATGGTAGGCAGTCTCATTGTCCTCTCTACACGTGCAAAATGGGCTATCAGTAGGAAAATTTAAAAATGAATCATTATTTAAATCTGCATTTGATTCTTAAACTAGTACGAATAATTTATGCTTTCCGTTTACCTATCTAAAATTATAGTGAGACATGATTGTGTGTAGGTGAAATTTTACGTTTACATGTTAGACAATATGTTTCTTATCTACTTGATCCGGCAGAGTGTTCCAAACATTTAATGAGAAAGATATAAAGGAATTTCTATGGACTTCTATTCTAGCACGTAATTGTTGAAACTTATTTATATTTATCAAAATTTTATTGTATTGTGTGTTCACCTAACGGAGATGGAGGTAAGAGACAGAAGAACCACACACAATTTTGTGAAATGTACAAAGTTTTGTTAACCGCTCCGGTGGCCTAGGGGTTAGAGCGTCCGCTTCGGAAGTGGGAGGTCGTGGGTTCAATCCCCGGTCGAGTCATACCAAAGACTTACAAAAATGATACTAACAGCTGCCTCGCTTGGCGCTCAGCATCAAGAGGTTAGTTTTATGACTGGTCGGCCTGGTGTCAGGATAATGTGACTGGGTGGGTCATCATGCTACATGTCTGCGGCATGATGTCCCAGTGCTAGACATCACTGTAAACTGACACAATGCAAACATCGTAGCAATATGACTGAAAATTGCTAAAGCTACGTTAAAAATCCAAATACCACACGTCACACACAAAGTTTATGAAATTTGTCTCGTTCCAATAATGTGAGCTAACCGGTTGTCAGCAAAAAGCGTGAACGGAATGTCAAGTTACACTTTGTTCTCGCTTCAATTTGCAGTTTTTCAGGTCGTAATACGTCAGTTGCAGAGTAATTATTCCACAGCATACTCAAAAGGAGAGGTGTGTAAGAGAGAACATTTCTTTCTAATGTTTTCTTACCTAGTCTGTATTTAATAGGCATGAAAACATTTAAACTGTTCAATGCATGTAAACAGAAGCTATCAATAGGTTTTGCAAAACTACCAGAGTTAGAAAATGTCATACCAATGTGCTTATGTGCTCAACAAAATGTAAAAATCAATTTGAAACTCGTGCTCGTGAAAAACTGGGTATAATTTGCTGGACAAAGACATGCCTTCGGTCTTTGCAGTGTTCAATCGTACTAGACATTGTTTGGACCATTGGTTTATATTTTCATATCAGGGTTTAGCACATATTAATAATGAACTTATGCTATTCGATACAAAAGAATATTTCTTTTAAAATCTATAGATTGCACCGTCTGTTTATAACCTTATTATTAGAATTTAACAAGTGCACACGAAAAGATACTATTATTTTTCGCTATTTCGGTCATTAAGGTTCATTTAAAACCCAACACAGTTACAAGCGAATACGTCCGTTATTTTTTGTACAGACTTGATTATTCTTTTTTCTTCTGCGTCCAGCGGCGAACTTTCATTTCAGATCCAGAAACACTTTGATAATAACCAGTTGTAGTATGCCAAGTTAGACCTTTACCGTATTCCGTGGATCCGTAAAGACCATTGAGATTTGAGATATGGCATTTATCGTACCACCAAGCACCGTGATATATCGTAGCGCAATTACCAGGTTCATAAATATCGTTATCTCTGTCCTTTGTAGAAAACTTGTGTCCGAAATGACGACTAATACTTAAACTATCACCTGCTGTGCCAGAATAACCATCGACAAATATTCGATAATATTCCTCGATCCCTTTCACATAAAATACATTATATTTTGCAAAGACATGACTTCCATTAATTAGAATCATATCGACCCGAAGTTCATACCATCCTTGCGAAGTTATCATGTGAAGTTGCTGGTTGCCTAGCCAAAATTCTCTCTCCAGATTACCAAATCCTACTTGGTAGTCAAACCATCCACGATAGAAATCTTCTTTTCCGTCAGTCCGTCTCTGAAACACTGTCCAACCGCCACCCTCTGTCTCGTGGTCGCACCGCACGGAGAAACCAGGAGTCCCAGTTGGAAAGATTTTGTATACTCCAGATGTTGCAAAACCCATCAGCTGCATGTCCTGGCAGTCAATTGGTCGAGAGTCAAGATCTAAAAGTGTAAGAAGGTTCTGGAAACGGACATCTTGGTTGGCCAAGATAGCACTTGACACGTTCTCAAATATTTGCTTGACCTGATCAACCTGAAACTGGGATGTCACAGTTACAAAATGTTTCTTCTCGGAATTAAATGAAGATTCTGCTCCAATTTGGATTATGGGATTGCAGTGACAAGATGCCTCGGAACAATTTGAATTACCCAGAAGGGCCGTTACCAGCAGTAAGAAAAGAAGAATACTTGCTTTCATTTTACACTACGAATTTCTCCACATACAGGCGCGCCTCGGTACAGTTTGCTTTCTTACTTCAACGTACTTTAATGACGTAGCTTGAATAATTTGTACACCTTTTAAAATGGGAATGCGTTGCTTAGAAGGGAATAGTGGGAGGATCTATAGTGGTTTCACTAAAAGCTTTCTCTGAAATGATGCTATTATGTGTGAAAATGGTGATTATTTCACGGTGCATTGAAAGTGTGTGTGTGTGTACGTGTGTGCCATCTCTGCATCCATATAATTTGTTTTATAAACTTTTACTCGGCATGTGCTTATGACGATACTGCATGTTCGATCATGCGTTTGACCTAAACATGTATGCCACAAGCGAAATAAGGGCGAATGATATAAAACAATTTCGAATCTTCTGAGAACAATGTTTTGCAAAAATTCAAATATTCAAATATTCAAACATTTTATTGGGTATCAAAAATTC